GCTTTGGGATCTGCAAAGGGCTTGGCGTATCTGCATGAAGATTGTGAGTACATATCAGAAAATTCAAAGGGTTTTGCTCAACTGATCTGTTCTATTAATTTCAAATCTTCTTTTGCTGCTCTGTTCATAGGCCATCCCAAGATTATTCACAGAGACATCAAGTCAGCCAACATTTTGCTGGATGATGCTTTCGAGGCGAAGGTTCATCCAGACCAATCTTTTGTTCATATAATTTCGAGACCATACATGCAATGTTCTTGTTTCCAGTCTCTGATTCCAACTTCAATCACAGGTTGCAGATTTTGGACTTGCAAAACTAACAAATGATGCAAACACCCACGTTTCAACTCGTGTCATGGGGACATTTGGGTGGGTTAACTCAACCTTTACTCATCGGATAACAATTCTTTGAGCCATCGTCATTCCTTACAACGTTTCTGTTTCAATGACTTGCAGATACATGGCGCCCGAGTACGCATCAAGTGGGAAATTGACAGACAGATCAGATGTTTTCTCATTTGGGGTTGTTCTTCTTGAGCTTATTACTGGTCGTAAGCCTGTTGATCCCTCTCAGCCTCTAGGGGACGAGAGTTTGGTCGAATGGGTATGTAAATAAATTAACAAACATTTCATCTTCTTCAAGATTTCCTCGAACGGATTCAGCAATGTTCTGCTTTATGAATGTTGCAGGCTCGACCTCTTCTCCTTCACGCCATTGAAACTGGGAAGTTCGATGGATTAATAGACCTTCGCCTTGGAAAACGTTATGTGGAAAGTCAAATGTTCAGAATGATCGAAGTAGCAGCTGCCTGCGTTCGTCATTCAGCTCCCAAAAGGCCTTGCATGGTTCAGGTTATCTTAATTAATCCCATTCAAAACTCCATTTCAACAAGCTTGTTCTTGAGCTGCAATTCTAATGGCACTTGGGTTTACAGGTGGTGAGAGCTCTGGACATTGAAAGTGACATGTCCGACCTCACCAATGGTGTCAAATTTGGGCAGAGCACTACCTATGATTCTGAACAATACAGTGAAGACATTTCTAACTTCAGGAAACTGGCGTTCGAAGACAGCCCCGACTACGATGGTTACAGTAGCGAACACAATTCCGGAGAAGTGAATGCAACTCGGGAATCACGGAGAAGCCAAAATTACTCGAGTGGTGAATCAGAAACTCGAGCTTTTAAGGGACAAAGTGGCGGCGTAACACACAGTCAACATACTGGACGATAATTCTAATAGGATGCCTCAAACAAGACGTACATAATGTGTAAAACTTCTTCCCCTTTTCTCTTTTTTTTTTTTTTTGCTTTTTACTTCCATTTTTGACTTAGTTATACTCATCTTACCATGAATTTATGCATCCTTCTAGACTAAGGATATCTCATTAATTTAAAAGAGATTGATGAGAGGGATGTTCCACTTTTGGTGATGCTGTGGTTGTTTTGTATTGCATTTTGAATTTTTGACAGTATATTCTTTCATCTATCTATTTTTTCGCATGTTCCTACATAGAATTTGTATATCTCCCCCATATAGAACTAGCATTGTCGATCAGGGTAGAATAAAGAAGAACGAAACAATATATGTTATTTACTTGGCTCATTTTGATGAAATAGTAAGTTTCCTAGCTCAAGCTGATGAATGTAACTAGTAGTGCAGACGATTAAAACAGCTGAACTTTTGGATGATCCATTGCCCTTTCTAAGATGTTATGACTAGTAGGGTTATTAACACTTTCTTTTTGTACAACCTAGTCTAACTTTCTGATTTATGTGCTAGTTAGCTTCATCAACGAATGTCCAATTCCCGCATTGATTGGAGAGGAGAACGAAGCATTCCTTAGAAGGATGTGGAAACATTTCCCTAGCAGAATCGTTTTAAAATCATGTGGTTGATGGCGATACATAACAAGCTAAAGCGGACAATATCTGTTAGCGGTGGTTTTAGCTGTTACAAATAGTATCAAAACTAGACGTCGGGTGGTGTACCAGCGAAGATGCTAAGCCCTCAAGAGGGTGGATTGTGAGATCCTACGTCGGTAGGAGAGGGGAATGAAGCATTCCTTATAAGGGTGTGGAAACCACTCCCTTGCAAATACGTTTTAAAATCGTGAGACTAACAATGGTACATAATGAGCTGTTGAGCTATTACAGCGAGTCCTTTTAAGTCTCTTAGGCTGAATCTTATTTTCATTCACATATGTATCGAACAAAAAAAAGAAAAGAAATCAGTAAAAAATTCTGAAGTAAGGATCACAATAATGTTCTGGATAATGCCCTAAGCACAAAGCTATTCCTAAATGTATTATGAACAGGTCAAAAAGTTGTGGCAGGAGTAAATATGTTTTCAAACTCAGAATATTCCATACTCTGATGAAGTATATTGGTATCTAAACCCAAATGAATCTTACCTCGACATGGAAAACGTTCAAAATGGTACTCCCAAAGGTTGTGCCACTGGATGATCCTTCACGGTTAGGAAAACTATGAAATCAAACGGGGATTCTCCGCTTCGTCCCGAGGCCATATGAGATAAATGGACATCTCTATCTCGTTAAACCTCTCCCTCTTCTGCATTAAAGACTCTTAAGATTCGATCAAAATGAAGAAAACAAGAAAACGCTCATGTGTGAAAAGTTCGAAGTAGAAGAAACTTCAGCTCTAGTAAGTTGTGTGGGATTCGCTCGAAATCAAAACATCGCCATTCAACCTTGAAACGAAATTCGAATATGATGAAATTTTCTTAGCATTGAGCCTAGTGAAGAGTTCTAACTACTTAGAGTTTAATAACATGGGAACTACTTAGAGCTTAGTGACATGGAAGAAGGAACCGAACAATAGTGTCATGGTCATACTTAGTTTAGTGACATGGAAGAAGGAATGGAAGAAGGAACCGAACAATAGTGTCATGGTCATACTTAGTTTAGTGACATGGAAGAAGGGAACCGAACAATAGTGTCATGGTCAGGTCATATTCGTTCAGGACGTGGAAGAAGGGAACCGAACAATAGTGTCATGGTCAGGTCATATTCGTTCAGGACGTGTGTCAATGGTTGCATGCCTATGATCACTTTCAAGACGTATTATCAATGGTCACATGCCTATAATCACTTTCAAGACGTGTTACCAATGATCGCATGTCCATACCCACAATCACTTTCTCGAGTAATGTGTATCACTTCTACGAGTAATGTGTATCACTTCTATGTTTATTTTAAAAAAATATATATTTCAAAAAGAAAAAAAATGTAAATATAAAATTTGATTAATTTCCCAATTGGATATAATCAAGAACAAAAAAAAAAATTAATTTAGAATTGTAGGAGTCTCTCAGGAAAAGAAACTCCTCCAAAAATAGGCGTATGCCGGTGAATGCGGCGAGCACACGGTATTCTTTAGTAAAAGGCGAAAGAATAGTTCGCTCTGTGCTCACCGCCCGGCTCCGTGCCTTTAAACGACACCACGAGACACCTATTTATACCTCAAACTCGTGTCCTACTTCCTGACTTTTCCGATGTGGGAACTGGAAGAATCTTAATGGGCCGACCACTTTGAAGGCCCAAAACAAAATTCCATTCGCCAATGGCCCAATTACACTTATTATTCTAAATTTTAAACTAAATCACATAACATTTCTTAATTACTCTTCGTTATCCCTTAATCCATCTTTACGTTTCTAAATATATATAATCTATAAATTTTATCCAATTTCTCTTATATTTCTTTGCTTCGGTAAAGATAATGACCAGTAGGGATATGACCGGTTGTTAATCCTACCCGATAGTGGTAAGTCGTTGTTGTTGCCTTTTTGCTTACATTTCCGACACCATTTTCAATTTCTCAAATATTGCTTTCAAAACTCTCTTTCAAAATCTCTCTGCCCCTGTTTTCTCTCAAATCTTGCTCTCAAAACTCTCTTCCGAAATCTCTCTGCCCACGTTTTCAAAAAAATTTCTTCTTGAATCGGGGTCAGAGGCTCGAACATACGTTGCTTGGTTGTAGACGACGTAAGAACGAATAGGCTTAACTCACTCGTTGCTGGGAAGTGAGTGCCAACTCTCTTTCGAAATCTCTCTGCCCCCGTTTTCAAAAAATTTCTTCTTGAACTAGGTCAGAGACTCGAGCATACGTTGCTTGGTCGACGTAAGAACGAATAGGCTTAACTCACATATTGCTGGGAAGTGAGTGTCCCACAACAACAAATCCGCTGTCATCAAAGTGCGATTGTGACAAGTGGCGAACTAAATCTATATATGGAAAATAGTCCTATATAGCAAAGATATATATATATAGTAGATCTTACATATAGTAAATTGAACTAATGTTATTTATTTGTGTTCATCTAAATCAAGTTTGGTGCAATCCTAACATAACTATAACGCATTTCAATGCATTTCAATACAGTGACTTAGTTCGAAATCAACCCATTTGATTGTTCAATTCTTAGGTTGATTGTTCAATTCTTACGCCAATTTTCTTGAAACCAAACGGGATCAAAACTTTGATTGTTCAATTTTAGGTTGATTGTTCAATTTTTAAACCAATTTTCTTGAAACCAAACGGGATCAAAACTTGAATTAAATTTTAAAATCTCGATATCGTAAAATCAAAATCTCTCCTCAAAACCGAGTAGAAATAATAATTAGCTAAATATAAATATGTCTAAAGTAAATCATCTTAGATCATGGAGAATGTTGAATGGATTAACAAAGTATTAATCTCACTAGTTGCCCTCCAAATTGTGTATTAAACATAAATAATGAGATAATTAAAAGGCCATAATCCTAACCTCTAAACAGAGATTCCATTAATGTATAATTGTTCCATAAAATGGGATTTAATTAATTTGGGTCTTAAATTAATCAAAAATTAAAACAATTTAAATGGATCTGCTTTAGAGTTTTCCCACCTCCACTATTCGGATTCTTATTCTCTCTGGTTTTATTCGAAACCTCATTCTGTCTTTACTTTAGAACATAAAAGTACACAAAAACATCTGTTCATGGAAGAAGCCGTGAGCTTCAAGATATTCGATCAAAAAGCTTAGTGATTGAATTCAAGAACACTCCCTGAATATCATCACAGATTATTGATTGAATTCAAGAACACCCACTGAATATCATCACAGATTAGTGATTGAATTCAAGCTTGTCATTAGAAAAACAGCAGAGATCAAGTGAAAAAAAAAAAACAGAGGAAAAATTCACAGAGCTATAACTTAACACGAAACGGTTTTACAAGTGCCATCAAGCATGTCCTCCAGCTCTGAAGTTGATATCTACTACTTCATGATGATCAGCATGTTTGATTTCGCTTCTCATTTCGCCGCCATTGTCGAAGGGTTTGAAGCTATTTCCATGGCTATTACCGTTGCCATTACCATTACCTTTGTATCCTCCATTTCCACCAGGTGGGAAACTGGCTTTCCCATTTGGGTTTCTTGAATCAAATCCAAATTCGATGTCCCCTTCTTTATCAGGATGCAATTTGGGTTCTTTCCCTCTGGAGTGAGATCCGCCGTGGGTCTTCTCCGGCTTCCGCCTCTGGTTTACAACTCGCCGGTTGCAGAGGCGGCCAAGAAAGCAAGCAAGAGCTGATAAGACAACAATAACAGCAAGAACAATAAAAACTGCCCCAAATGAACCGTTGGAATGGTGGATTGGAGGCTTGACGCCGGCGGTGGAGCTGGGATAAACCAGAGCCGCCTGCTGAGGCTGCTGAGGCTGCTGAGGTTGTTGTTGTTGTTGGAACTCCGACATGTTGACGAGGTTTCGGTAATGGATTGGAAGAAGGTATTAGGGAGCTGCTATGGTTTGGTCCTTTGAGAGAGAGAGAGAGAGAGAGAGAGAGAGAGTTACTTAGGAAGGAAGCAAGAAGAGAACAAGAAGGTTGCATGAAGAAGAGGGCTATGTCTAATGAAATGGGGTTTGGGGAAGGCAAAGAAAGAGGTCAAAAAGGGAGGAACTTTCTTTTGGTAAAGGGACAGACAGCTAAACTTATTCCTTAGGTTCAAAGAGGGGTCACTCTCAATGATCCGTTCTTGTAACCTGTTACTTTCTAGGATAATCATAACATCAGTCTCACTTGTGCTCCTAGTTTCATAAAGACAATGATATGTTAATTTCTACTTTCTGATAGAAACACAGGATCTTCCCAATTCGATCTATGGATCGGAGAATTTTTTCATTGATAGAAACAACGATCAAAGATTGGACTGATAGAACAAACACCATACTAAAACATATTGAAAAAAATTAGAAAAGACACGAAAAACGCAATTCTAAAGCTAGAACTAAATATTAGTCCTAACAAAATCGGTTGGACTAGCCCAACAGGCCTGTTGTCAAACACCTAACAAAGTCGAAGCTAAGTTCTACATCGACGTTATTACAACGTCACAGACAGTTTTGTACAGTTAGATGTATAAAAGAGATACAGTAAAAGTACCTACTAAACATGAGACGTGCAGATTTTCGTTACATCTAATGATTATTAAGAGATAGTCAGTCACGTAACAAATTCAGCATTCAGCATGTTCGTAGGGAAAAGGAGAAAGAACAAAAACTTGGGAATCCGTGGGGATATATTGAATGAAAGCATACAATATTAGTTTTTGCAGATGGATACATTTTGAGTCCTAGAAAGTCTATTTTATTTCATTCTATCTCAATGTGATGCGTATAAGAGAGTAAGGCACTAACAGTGGTCTTATTTGCGGCTGAATAACTAAGCCAAATCCAAGAAACAATCTATACTTGCATACTCACTGTCTTCCTCTTCCGGCGCTGTACCATCAAACTCTGGCTCGTGTTTTGGGTCTTGTTTCATGAGATGTATGAAGTTATCAGGGCCCTGTTTGTTATAGCTCATAAAAGCACCCAAGGCCCCAAGAAATCCTTCATGCCGCATGAACATTGCTTGTGCATCACCCTTCGACCTGAAAGGGAAAGACTCTGTATATCATATTTGGAAGGCTTGAGATTGAATGGAGTAAGATCATAAAGAAAATGGCAGGGACATATTTTTACCAGTAATGAACGGCAACGGATATGGTGTCCATTGTATAACATTGACCACGTATGAAGAATCCTCCGAAAAATATCCGCCTAAGTCCGAATCGAAGTGCAGTAAGATAGGCAAGCTGAGAAGATTTGAGTTATGAGGATCTTATATTTCCAAAGTTTGTACTTTATTTGCAAGTAAATGAAGACCTATCACCGTGACTTACCTGTCCGATGTTATTTGAAATCATTCTTAGAAGGGACCGAGCGAGATCCTCAGTCCTGTAATTTTCAAGCACTTTGTTTGCTGAAACAGTCTTGCCAAAGCTAGAAGCAATGGCTGTGGATGAAAGACCAATCTGAAGCATTAAAGGGCAGAAGAAGATGAAGGCTTTTGGCTAAAAAGGGAAACGTCATCCTTTATAAATAAAAGACTAGGCAGTAACATTGGTCGTGCATTATAACAGTCCAAGCCCACTGCTATAACATATTGTCAAATTTGACCTGTATATATCTCGTCAGTCTCATGGTCGTGCATTGTGCCAGCGAGGACGCTGGGCCCCCAAGGGGGGTGGATTGTGAGATCTCACATTGATTAGAGAGGAGAACGAAACATTCCTTATAAGGGTGTGGAAACCTCTCCCTAGTAAACGCGTTTTAAAATCGCGAGGCTGACGACGATACGTAACGGAACAAAGCGAACAATATCGGCTAGTGGTGGGCTTGAGTTGTTACATGCATGATGAATAATCATATGATATCAATAGAAATGAGTACCTTATTATAATCTCCTCCACCATATATATCTCCAACAAGCATGTCTACCACTCTATTGTTCCCTTGCTGACTCAACTCCAACAACTCGTCAAAACTAAAAGATTTTACATTTGGTTACTAAAGAAAGAGAAAAATCATTCATAAAAGTTTGCTTAAACGTTGAATTCTATCAATTATGGATTCAAATTGCTATGAAGAACCAAAAAGCAGAAACAGTAGAGTACGAACATTCAGAAAAAGAAATTGAACCATCTGCCAAAAGTACAACAGTTCTAATGACCAAGTGGATGAAAGAAGTACCTATTGCACTTTGTCAAAAGCTTACCCAAACCCCAAAATGTCCCGCCACCAAGGCTCGTTCCACTTACCCGCTCAAACTTTCCATTTCCATCCACCTACTAATTGCATTATAAGAGTTTGCAGCTTTAAGAAACCATACCGATGAAATATTATGGTTTGGAAACTAGTAAATACTATAATGACCATACCTTAATCATGCTGACTCCAGAACCAATGTTTACAAGGAGGAAAGGGTACAGGTCATCTTGGTTAATCTGCACAAATTCCTTCTGACCGCCTATGTATGTAAATGCTTCTTGGTGGACTGCCTAAAATGTAACAAAAATAAGAACATCATATGGCAAGAGTCACCATTATACAACATTTCAAGCATATTAATTATTTGCAAACCAAAATGCATAGGTCGTACGGCCAACCTTCAGGAGAAAATTTGCTCCAGCAACAAGGCAATCCATTTCATCTTCCTTATCTAGACAAACGTCAAGCTTTTCCTTGAAGAGATCTGCAAATTTAAATGCTCCACCACCAGTGGCCTTCTCACCAAAAGTTACCAGTCAATAAACTTGCATGCTTTAGAAGTGTACAAAACAACAGGGGAAAGTATTCTTTTGAACTATAAAGATGGATTCAGTTACACCTTTACAATTTTTCCATTGCCAAGTTCCTTTGGGTGCTGGGAACCTGTTTTAATGTTCAGTTTTCAGCAGAGTATCAAAAAGAGAAGAAAATGGCAAAAGGAGGCATGAAGAATCTGAAGATCAGCACAAGAATCTGAAGATCAGCACTCACAAGACGTTAACAGAACAGAAAAAAAGATGCTAATTATTTTGGATCAAATCAAGTTCATCTCTCACTTTATATGTTACATCATTTGATAATTTTTTGGTTGCCGAATGGAAAACCAGCTGAGCAATAATAACAATAACTAGGCCATGATGTTCATCATAAATTGTACAAGACACTGATCTTGGTGAAGGTTGACATGTAATTACTGCTCTTGATATGTTAAGGATTGTGATATGCAAACAGCAAACTAAGCAGATGAACAATTTTCCATTTTAGATTTCTTAATCAACCAAACCAGTTCATACTGATTAACTAAACAAGTTTCAGCTGACAAAGAAAATCACCGATTACCGAGTTCCTTGCTGTTAATAAACGCTACACACTCATCAATTTTTCCAGTTTCGAACTTGGCAAAGTGGAGCCTCCCATGGAGAATGGAACTACTTCTTCCACCAACTTCTGCAGAACTCTGAACTCGATCATCATTCAACAGTTTCTCGTTCCCAGAGAAATACACCAATTTAGCAAGAGTTCCTACCGAAAATGCACAAATCAATCCCAAAAACTAAGCTCCAAGTATAGGATCAAATCAAACTCACAAAAAGAAAGAAATGGAGAATGCGATTGGATAATTCAATGTAGAATCACAAAAAACGATGAACTGAAAAACAATCACCTCCAATATCCAATGCCAAATGAGATATCCGAGCGTCTGATCGAGTGTCTGAGTTGGCTCCGGCCGGCGTGACCTCAAGATCCATTCCAGGGGAAATCGTAGGGTAGGTAGGCGCTAGGTCTTCGTTGGGGAAGAAGTTGAGAGGGCTGGAATTGAAGTGTGGTGAAACATTGAAAGCTAAAACCCTGACGAACAAGTCTTAAATAAACTGAGAAGACCCGATCGAGATCCATCGGAGTTTGGTCGGCGAGGCATTAAATCGAGTATGAGCAGTTGACTTTCCAGAGATAACGAACCAGAGACGAATCCCGACGTTTGCAACAGTTGTCCGGTGGTTAGGATTGTAATTAGCCAATTAGATGATTTTTTTTTTAATTAAATAAAAATATCTCTAAACTTTTTAATTTATTTCAAGAAAATACAAGAAATTGTTTAAAACTTTTTTTTGAGTGAAACTTTAAGTTTTGTTGTAAAGAGCTCTAGTACAATGTTGTTGGTACAACCCCTAATCGTTGTTGGTACTGTTGGCTAGAATAAGGGTCACCTCCTGGAGCATGGCTCTGATAACCGACCCTGCCCCCTAATCGTTGTTGGTACTGTTGGCTAGAATAAGGGTCACCTCCTGGAGCATGGCTCTGATAACCGTGTTAGGAATCACAGATCTCCAAAATGATATGATATTGTCGAGTTTGAGCATAAGAGCATAAACTCTCATGGCTTTACGTTAGGATTCCCCAAGAGGCCTAATGGAAATAGTAATCATTGCTTATAAACCCATGATCATTCTCTAAATTAGTCAATGTGGGACTACATCCCAACAAACAAAAGCTAAACGTTCAAATAGTTTTTTTTTTATCTTTTAGCTATTTATATATAATTAAGTTTTGGAAAAAAAATTTAATGTCAAATCTCCTCCCTAACATCACTTTTAAAGACACTTGGCGTGGTAATAATAAAGAATAGTAGCAATATTACAGTTATTAATATATTAATTACTTGGAATTTTCTAAAAAATGACGTATTTATACCTTTTATTAATGAACATTAATGATGTATATTTTAATTTCCAATAATATAATATTTTTTAAATCTTTAACATTTTTCTATAATTTTCATTTTCTTTTGAAAACGTAGTATTAATATAAGAGTATTTTTAATTTTTTTAAGAAATAGTTTAATAATATTTACGTAATTTTTACAAGTTTAAGGATATTTTTAAAATATTGTTAAAAGTTTAAAAATGTTTTTAAAATAAAATACTTTTATTTTATTTAAAATTAGCTATTTTGAGTTTTTTTATTAAATTTTTTAAAAGTTTAATTATTTTTTATTGGGCTGCTAGTTAGGGCTTCACTTTGCTCACATAGCATTGTTTGTGGGCCGGGCTATCTGCCTTTGTGGGCTTGACATTATTTTAATATTTTAAAAACCTTAAAAAAGAAACTGTCGCAATTTTTGTCTCTTTTGATTCACCGGAATTTTTAACTAAATGAAGTCGAAGAAGGTTAATTGTCTGTCCTATTTTTGGTTATATCGTCTGTTCCTGGTTCAGCCTAATTTTCCGTCTCCATCTCCGTACGTATATAGACCGAGACGGAGAATTAAGCGGCGACAGACAATATAACCAAAAATAGGGACGGACAATTAACCTTTGGTCATCGACTTCATTTAGTTAACAGAGAGAAATCTCTCATCACTTCTTTCCTCGTTCTTAATTTAAACGAGGATTGTTCATCCCATTTCTGAAATGGGTCTTCGACCTCACAAATTAAATAGATCTCTATCTACTTGAGTTATTTTCAGGTCAAGTAAATAACAAAAATAAATAAAAATAGAGAATATTATTTCTAATTTATTCATAACTATATTTCATCGTCATTAAATTCATTCATTTTGTAAAAAAAAAAAAAACATTTTTTTTTGGAATTCAATAAGACTCCAAAGCATAAGATAAATGGGTATATAAATTTTGTTTAATTACGAAAGTAGAATTAAAAACATTTAATATCAATATATAATTATAAATTTATTATTATTATTATTTTTTATTAGAGAAAGTAAGGTAATATGGTATGAATCGATCAAGCAGCAGAAGGTGCTGGCACATGGGAAATGTTGGGCTCAGGCATGGAGGACAAAATTGTCAATTTTGGGACTGTATTGGCTTGATCCTCCTCTTCAACGACGTCGTTTGCAGACTTCAAATCCAGCGACGTGTCGTTGTAAATGTCCCACCATTTTGCCACCAACTTTTTGATGTCGTCCCTGTCCATGTTGGCTTCCTTCCCTGTGTACCTCCATGGCTTCGATCCCTGCAAAACGCATGTAGCCATAATTAATTTTGTATTAATTAGGAGTGTTCAGAAAATTTGATGACTCGAAAATTTATATAACCGAATCCAATGGGCTAAGGGACCACTAAATCCAATGGGCTAAGGGACCATCGTGATGCTTTATTTTAATTAAACAGTCGGATTTTCCTTGCCCGTATCAGTTCTGAGTTGGATGTTCGACACCTCGAGAAAGTCCCTGAAGGAGTCGTTCCTTGTACATTCCCCAGTCGGCAAATAGCAACCTGCTCTCACGGTCCATCGTAATGCTTTGTTTTAATCAAATAGTCAGATTTCCCTTGTGTTGTACCAGTTATGAGTTGATTGTTCGACAACTGAGGAAGGCCCTCAAAGGAGTTGTTCTCGGTCCGTTTCCCAGCTGGCAAGCAGCAACCTGCTCCCGCAGGGCCATCGCAATGCTTTGTTTTAATTAAACAGTCAAATTTTCCTTGTTCATACCAGTTATGAGTTGACTGCTCGACACTTGGAAAAGGCCCTCAAAGAAGTCGTTTCCAGTCCATTCCTTGGCCGGCAAGAACAACACGCTCTTCCCACGAGAGCAGCTTAAAGCTCGAATTTATGTTAATTTTTTTATACACAATTATTTTTTTATTATTTATTTCCAACCATTTTAAAAAAAAAATTAAAAGAAAATGTTATAAGCTAGACCCAACCCAATTCAACCTGAGCATCCCGAGCATTAATAATTAAGTTAAAAGAACGGGCATGAAGTGAAAAAAAGCTCACCGCAGCACAGTAATGGACGACTTTGATCTTATCGACATCGTTCTCAACGTTCTCGGGATGGCGCCACAGCATGGCGAGAACGAGATTATAGGTGGGAGGAATGGGCTTGTAAATGTTGCGGAAGAACATGTTGAGAAAGTCCTGCTCGGCAAAAGGGGTGGGAGGGGTAATACGGAGAGTGTGAAGAAGGGAGTGGTAGGTGTGGTGGCTGGGCTGGAAGACGAACATGCCGGCGTTGAAGTAGAGCGGCGGCGGGGGACCGGAGGCGGGTGGCCAGGTGACTCGGTCGGGGCACTGCTGGCAGTAGCCGATGGAGTACTGAGGGGAGTGGCTCCATGTCTTCTCGCAGAAGCAGTCCATGACGGCGTAGAAATGGCCGTCGGGGTTGTCGAAGAGATGGTCTATGTTGTCGTATACTTGGATGTCTCCATCCAAATATATCATCTTCTTGTACTCTACAAACTGTTCCAAAAAAACCAATAATAATAACCCCATGTTTAGACTAATATATATATATATATATAGATGTACATATACATACATACATCAAATAAATTAGTTTTGAGCGGGCGTGAACGGGAACTGGGAATATAATTCTTGTCCCCAACCTCATTTAAGCTAAAGCGGAAATATCTCAGAGCTCCCTCCTTTATTATTTGTTCCATTCAAGGTGGGTCACGTCATCTCTAATAAATTTTTTATTATTTTCAATTTTTATGATAAAGAGATTGTAATGTAATAGCTCAAGTCCACCGCTAGCAGATACTGTTTTATTTAAGTTTTTCTTTTCGGTTTCTCTCAAGGTTTTTAAAACGTGTCAGCTAATGAGAGGTTTCTACACCCTTATAAAAAAAAAATGTTTCATTACTCTCCCCATCAATGTGGGATCTCACCATCCACCCCCTTTGGGGCCATGGTCAAAAATGTTTCATTACTCTCCCATCAATGTGGGATCTCACAATCCACCCCATGGTCCTTATTGGCACTCGTTTCCCATCTCCAATCAATGTGGGACCACTTAATCCAACCTCTTCAAGGCGCTGCGTTCTTGTTGACACACCGCTTCTTGTCCACCCCCTTCGGAGCTCAATCTACTCATTAGCACATCGCCCGATCCCGGTATCTAGCTCTAATACCATTTATAACAACCCAAACCCACCACTAGTAAATATTGTCATCGTCATTTTTGGGTTTTTCCTTTCGTATTTTTCTTCAATGGTCTTAAAATGCGTCTATTACAGAGGTTTCCATACTATTATAAAGAATAAATGTTTGTTTGTCCTCCCCAACCAACCTTGAATCTAACAAAATATGATACAATTAAATTTGAAAATTCTCATGCACGTGAACAACCCTACGTCATATATTGAATCAAACCAACAAAAATTGAGATCTTTTTTAAATAATATGGATGTTGCCACTTACGTTCCAAATCCGAAGCTTGGAGTAGTTGATGACGTAATACGCCATGGCGAATTGGATTTGATTCTCAGGAGGATAAATCGGCTCAATTTCCCGAATGATGCAGCCCTGAGTCTTCAAAATCTCCCGGTGCTCCGCCGGAACGTCCGGCAGCACCGCCACCACCAGAGGGTAAGCGGCGGCCACCTTCCGCAACCCTTTTGCCAAACCTGCCACCCCTTTTACGTAGTCGCCGTTTCCGGCCAAGAACGTCACGTACGCCCTCTCCGAGGCGGCAGCGCCGCTGGCTAGGACATTCTCCGGAAGTTCTGGAGCCATTTTGCACTCCCGAGAGCTAGGAAATTATTAATGAATAATGTATTGGGTGTTTTGTCTTGTTGGTGTTGAATAGTGGAGGGAGACTTGGGGTTGGTTTTTTATAGGAGGGAAATTTTAAATGCAAATGCAAATGCAAGTGAAATGAAACTAAAATGAAGACTTGTGGTCGCTTTCGATAATTGACGAAGATGATTGGGAATGGAAAAATGACGGGTTCATAACCAAAATTAATCAACGTGACTATCAATGAGAGAAATAAAAAATCAAATTTGTATCTATGAGTAGAAAAAAATTACATTATAACAGTTTTATTGAATAATTTTTAAATATATTAATGATGATATTTAAGGTTTCAAAATGTCACAGTATACTATGATATCACTCGCTCTAGAATAATAATCTTATCTTAGCACCTTGAAAGAGGGTCATAAATCTCTCCATTATTTTTGTTATATATATATATACATTAGAAAAATTGTCCTTGATACTAATTTTGGTAGGTTTTTATTAGATGTTAACATGTGGGCCTGTGGGGGTAGAAGTTCAAGCCTTAGACCTTTTGGTCGAGGCATTTATAATATATTTTGTGAGATCCCACGTCGATTAAAGAAGAGAACGAAACATTTCTCTCCCTACTAATGGGCCAAACATTTCTAAGGATGTGAAAAATCTCTCCCTAAATACGTGTTTTAATAGGCCAAAATCTCTCCCTAAATACGTGTTTTAATAGGCCAAAGTGAACAATATCTATTAGTGATGGGATCGGGCTGTTATTAATGGTATCAAAGACAGAAACATTAAGCGTGTGAAAACCTCTCCCTAGTAGAGGTATTTTAAACCATGAGGAGGAAGACAATATATAATGAGCCAAAGAGAACAATATCTTACAAGTGGACTTGGACTCTCCCTAGTAGACATATTTTAAACTACGAAGTAGAAAATGATACATAATGGGCCAAAGAGAACAATATCCTACGAATGTACTTGAACTCTTCCTAGTAGACATATTTTAAACCATGAGGCGGAAGACCATACATACTAAGCCGAAGAGAACAATATCTTAAGAGTAGACTTCCACTCTTACATATTCAATAGTTTTTTTATTTAATTAATAAGGTCGAAAATGACAAATAAAAGAAAAGGAAATAGCCTTAAAAATGGTGGAAAGGAACGAAAAGTTCCAAAAAAGGAGAAAGGGAGAGGATGGGTCATTGGGTTGAATGGAAATGTTGTAGAAGAAACAATAGGCGAAGGCAATGGCAATGAAGTTGATAGGTTCAAGGCATATGCCAACCACAATAACTCGGAAGATTCTGAAGAGATCCATTCTCTTCAAAATCATAGATTGTTTCAAATATTTCTCTAAATACGTATAAAATCACTTAATAATTATAACTATATGCTGAAAATTAATATACACCTAATCAATAACCTTGATCCACGTGTCAACATTTACCTAATCTCTTAATTAAAATATAGGGAAAAGTTTGTACCTATATGGCATCATTTTCCAGAGCAATTCTTTCACTTGATAAGCGATGGGACAAGAGGGAGCCCATCATGCTGCAAAAACCAAGCCAAAGTCCTGCTATAGAAAATTACAATATGGGTGACTTGGATTTTCATTGGTAAACATTTTTTTTTTCCAATGGAAAGAAGTACAATTGCTAACGTAATACAAGATGCAAGTTGATGATAATGAGAACGACATGGATGGAGAAAGAGATTGCAGAGTGTAGAAGATACCTGCTCGGGCACGCACGCGTGCGAGGTTGCAAGCGTGGGGGCGAGAGAGGAGTTCGAGCATGTTCTTCCTCCAATGCTTAGAAGTGAGTGTCTAGGATTGGTTTGGCAAATTGGCATATGGTCAAAACATTTTGCTCCACATGAAAGAATTGAAAATGGCAGGCTAGGAATTGGATGCTCTATATATTCTTTTATACCAAAGGAATTTGGGATGATTGGGGGAAGGGGATGGGTCGTACAATTATTTGGTTTAATTGAAAATCATAGCCATATACTTACCAGGCTAGCTCCATGCCTGTGCCCATAACCACGCCACCGTTCATCAGAGATTCCCTTGTCTCTAAGCCCCAGCCACACCCGTTTCCTCTTTGCTGCAGATATCATAAACTAATACATATATGCATGCATACATGCTTGCTTATTAAAATTACACTGAACAGCCACTCAAAAAGAAGAAATTACTCGGAGGAGTATCATTTAAGCACTCTCTAACTTGTACCGTAAAAAGAAGACACCGAAAAATAAGCCATTCCGAGTATAGCTACATGGATAAAGCATCCATTATTATTTTAAAGACCAATAGTTCAATCCCTATACCTTTTACTACCAACAAAAAAATAAGCCATCCCGAGCGTAGCTATGAATAAAGCATCCATTATCATCCTAAAGACCAATGGTTTAATCCATATAACAACCATGGTTGAATTATATATTTTTTTTAAAAGATTTACTACCACTACAACAATTCAAAAATTCTAAATCTAGACCGTAAAAGTGATCTTGGGTGTAACCCCTACAACAATTCAAAGATTCTAAATCTATACCATAAAAGTGATCTTGGGTGTAAGGGCTACAACAATGAGAAGATTCTAAATCTATATCATGAGAGTGATCTTGGGTGTAACTGCTACAACAATTCAAAGATTCTAAATAAATCTATACCATAAAAGTGATCGTGATCTTGGGTGTAACCGCTACAACAATTCAAAGATTCTAAATCTATACCATAAAAGTGATTTTGGGTGTAATCGCTACAACAATTCAAAAATTCTAAATCTATACCATAAAAGTGATTTTGGGTGTAACCGCTACAATAATTAAAAGATTCTACATCTATATCATAAATTCAAAGATTCTAAATCCATACCATAAAAGTGATCTTGTGTGTACCCGCTACAACAATTCAAAAATTATAAACCTATACCATAAAAGTGATTTTGGGTGTAACCGCTACAATAATTAAAAGATTCTACATCTATTTGAATTCAAAGATTTTAAATCCATACCATAAAAGTGATCTTGTGTGTACCCGCTACAACAATTCAAAAATTCTAAATCTATACCATAAAAGCGATCTTGGATGTAGGATTTTCTCTAACCAAAAATATGTGAATGTTCTCTCGGCTTTACTTCAGAAATACTTTCATGGGCCGGAAAGATTTGAAAGCGATGAATTACTTTGGAAAAATACCTCCAAAAGCTCATCTTGACACTTAATTACGAGCATCATTATTCGATCTTGTGCAATAAAATTGAAATGGCAGCAACAAAAGAATGTGTTATGAGACAAATCCAATATGGAATTATACATCAACTAGTTTCAGCTAGAAATCAAAAGAAAAGAACAGAGCGTACAGCCCTAAAATAGAGCCTGAAACACAATAACCAAGCCTAACCATTCTGATATTACAGTATAATAATGACAAATAGTTTGCTAAAAGCTCCCGTAAACGAAAAAAAAAAAAAACCATAACCTCTTTTAAGGTGCCCCATGAAAAAATTAGATAATATTCACCCTGCATCCAGAACTGCGAGTCTCAGAAGAAGCAACTGTTCGATATCCTTATGCCTGCATAGAAAAGGACCATAGAGATGTAAATAGGTGGCTCAACAGGATGGCAATAAGAAGTAATAGAAGATGCAACGCTTTCGGAATGGGGGATACGAAGGAGGAAGGTTTGGTGTAAAACAAAATTTCACAGCCATTGACATAAAGTTTAAGATCACTTGGTAAATTGGAAAAATATGCTATTATTTACCTTGTTAGCAATATTGTTGGAGAGCCAATCCAACCCCTCATAAAGCCCCTCCCCAGAGGTGGCGCAAGTGCTCTGGATGTACCTGAAGATATTGAGGAAGCCATTAAAATCTTAGTAGGTAACAGAAGGAAAATTTTATGTTCAGAATAAAGATAACAAAGCCTACCAGTGACGCTGGCGGAGAGAGTGGAGACCCAGCTTATCAGTGATTTCAGCAGCATTCATTGCATTAGGAAGATCTTGTTTGTTAGCAAAGACAAGCAGAACTGCATCTCGCAGCTCATCCTGGGATCACATGAATTATTAGTAATCAATTGTACTAAGTATATATAAATTGAAACACTGAGGGGGGAAAAGGTAGCTAAGTTGGATATTATGCATATCTTTTCCAAATGACAAGCATTTACGTCTGGCAGGACATTAAGAACAACATCATAAATGCTCGAAGTTGGATATTGGGATGGCAAATGTAATTTAGCAAAATAAAAATAGTAAATCGTGAACTATTTAAACAGTACTAAAAAAAAGGGAAAAAAGGAATTCATAGCAGCATCGTGAGCAATTTCAAACCAATGTTCAAACTAGGTAGCACGTAGTATGTTGTACCTCATTCAGCATCCTATGCAATTCATCCCTGGCCTCAACAACTCGATCTCTATCATTACTGTCAACAACAAATATGAGACCCTGTGTGTTCTGGAAGTAGTGCCTCCACAAGGGACGGATCTGTTGAACAAGAGTTTAAGAACTTAATTTAATTAGACAGCCAGAGAATACAAATGAAATAATGAACAAAAGCATTCTAGCAGGAGAAAATTTTAATAAACTCAATGCCAAATCAGACTGGAGAACAATCAATAAAGAAGTACAAACCTTGTCTTGACCCCCAACATCCCAGACTGTGAAGCTGATGTTTTTGTACTCTACAGTCTCCACATTAAACCCTGCAAATAAAGAACGTGAGCTAAATTGCAATTTTTATGAAACAAGTGCCAAAAAGTAGAGGATGTGAAGAGACATTTCAGACAAGATGACAATCAGCTGACTGAATTAAATTTAACTTTGTTGTGTACTGATCTTATGTAGACAATAATTGACTGGATAAGATGTAGGAAACTTGGTATATAATATTATAGAGTCAACAAAGAACCGAGTCCTTACTGCTTAAGCAGAAGAAAATTGTGAAACCGCTGAAGATTGTGTAAAACCATGGCAGTCATATACTATACGAAAACGGAACACAGCTATGAGAGACATCTAAATAATCCTTCATCCATAAATCAATGCGACAATCTAGTGGTTGACTCTTTACTTCAGCATTGGCTGAAAACATTGGTTTTATGCAAATAAGTATCCAGATGAATAAATGCAAGAAGTAAAATATTTATATACACAAACAACCGACTGTAGTATATTCTTTAGCACAAGAAAATTGTGAACCGAACATGAAAGAGCATTGCCATGGTAGAATCCTAGTAATAAACCAGAAAAAATATGCATAGAAGAGACGTCTACAACCTTCTTTTCTTAAAGAACAATATACATATAGATCTATCTGCATGTTGTATATACACGCACACGTAGATCAAGGATAGAACATATAATAACTCGATTTCTTAAAAGGAAAAAGAAACTCACCAATGGTAGGGATTGTTGTGACGATCTCGCCGAGCTTGAGCTTGTAAAGGATAGTTGTCTTACCAGCCGCATCAAGACCAACCATCAAAATTCGCATTTCCTTCTTGGCAAAAAGCCGACTGAAAAGCTTTGTGAACGTAAGCCCCATTTTCTGTCCCTGCCTAGAAATCCATAAAAGATTCCAAAACCATCAGAATGTATAAGATGAGATCGATATCCATTGCGACAAGGATCGAGTGAAAATAGCAACACCGCAACAGAAAATCAACAAAATCATCATGTATAGAAATCCAGATTATTCAAAGTACCAAATATTCAAATGGAGCGTCTAAAAAACATCATCTCAGGATCATCAATTTAATAAAACTATATCCCTCCTGATCATCAAAGGGATCTGAAGGTAGATCGCATCGCAATATCAGATCGCCTTACGACTAGGAAATTGACCTCATATTAAGCTCATCCAAGAATTCATGCATCCGATTAAGAAATTAATCACATGAAATTCGCCGAAGAAGCAGATCGGAACAATTCGCGTTTGTATGAATCCAGGGAAATGCATAATTCATATTTGAAATCGATGCAGATATGTCCGAGATTCATGAAAAAAGGGGAAAAAAACCAATGGCCAACAGAAATCGAAGAACCTCAAAATCAGAAAAACTACATTAACACAGAAGGAATTGAAAAGAAGAGCAAAATTCGTAAACAGAACATTACCTTCAAAGAACACCACCGAGAATCTACAATGGAGAAAAGAGAGACGGTGGGAAGGTGTAGATCTCATCGGGGCCCTAAATATAAACCGAAACGCAAGGGAAAGTCGAAGTACGAAACTACCCTTTTGCTGGACCGTGGAAGAGCCAACTAAGCTCCAATCAGAAACGAACACGTCATGGATCTGAAAATTCACAGCTTGGCGTTATTCGACTTTTCGCACACAATAGGAAATTAATATTAGTTAGCGTGTTGGTAACTTGTCCAATCGGTGGTCGCCACGTGTCGATGCATGTTGCGTGGAATTGAATGTTATATGGCCCCTGCGGTCGTTGGTGATTCAAATTTGAAAAGTCTCGATAGCCGACGTTAAAAGAGCAGTATTTTTTTTTTTTTAATATACAAAAATAATATTTTTTTATTTTTATTTTTTTTAATAAAAGTAAAATATTAATATAAATTTTACTTATTTATTTGTTTCCAAACATTAAATTAAATTCTGCAACTGTCTCTTCAACGGTGCGGCCTCGTGATCTTGACACGCTTGCGACAAATTTTAAGACGGACTCAAGCACCATTCACATTTTTTGTCCCGCTTTGTGGCTCGTCGTACCGTCGATGAGATTTGCCTTCGACAATTGAACACAACTTGTGCGGAATCCAAGTTTGTTCGGCCACACGCGTTACTCGTGCGTGCATGTTCAATCATGTGTGACCGAACGTCACTACTCATTGTCATCTTATTTCCTAACAACACGACATATGTATTGTGATGTCATCTCATGTCTCAAGACACATCGGTCATCTTGGCTTATTTGGACACATCCATTGGTAACTAACCCATGTGTCGATCATCTCATTGGACACCCAAACATCCCTCCATTTGGATTCACTCGAGCATCAGACTATCATGTGTTCATTCTAAACCATTTATGACGTACGTTCTAGATAGAGGGTGCATAATCTAACCTCCAACACATGGCCTAGGGCGCAGTATCGACACACCCGTGTTGTCTGATACTGTTCTTGAATAATCTCCAACACTTGTCCCATGACGCTTGTCACGCTATGACAGATGCATGTACCACCGAGTAACTAGCTTAGGCCACAGAGCCAGAGGGGATGGAGAGCCTTCTAATTAGAAAAATCATAGGAAAAAAATAATAATAATAAATAAATATTTTTATTTTTAAAAAAATGAATTAAATACTTTTATAATTATATTTACAGTTTGAAACAAGCAGTTTATTTGAAAGGAAGGGAGGCGGGAAGACAGGGCGGGAGAGACAGACCAGTGAGTAGAGGATCCGTTCCGATCTCATTTCGCCGTTTTCGTTGAAGCGTGCAATTGGATTGTGCATAGTCGGATTTGCAATCCGCCGCCGCCGCTCGATCGGAGGGGAAACAAGGCGCATTGCCTCTGCCGTCGTCTATACATTGCCATTGAGGTAAGTCCATAGTTCCGTTACTCATCTCTGATACTTTACTGCAATTTCAGTAGGATTTCTTCTTTACTCGCTGTTTTGTCTAATTTTAGTACTGTGTTTGGATTCTCTGTATTCGTTATCTGTCAGTACTTTGAGATTAGTGTGAGATATATTTGATAATGTTGCTGTCAGTGGTCTATTCTGCACACAAGGTTCTGTTGAGTAGAAATGCTCTCTGTGTGGATAATTTTTCGATGGTTGTTTCACTTGGTAATGCGTGCACAAAAGGTCCTCTATCCACATTACGAATTTGTTATGGTCTGCGTATATTTGTTTCTCTTTCCATTGTAGCAATGGAGGTCAGACAAATTTAATAGGGAAAAGTCTGATAATAACCAGACTTGTTCTTTTATACAATTGGTTTCATCTTTATGTTTTATTAGTGATCTCTCCATGGAATGCCCCATGGTGAAAAATTACCTTGTCTTCAATGCTGATCTGTG